TAGGGATTAAATTATGCTGCAATTTGCCTATTCCGCTATATAATCTGGATTTACTGTGGGATTTCTGCTCGTACGGCAGTTATGTTCTTCGACAGTATCTTATACTGTTCAAACTATACAGATTCAGCCGAAGTTGATTGATCAGATTATGGCTCGAGATTAATCTTTTTAAAGCAGCACATCTCCAACTTCAGCAAGCACATAATCCTACTGTACAAGAGAATATTGTTGGATCACCGGATAAGTACGAGAATAGAGAATAGAGGCCTGGTGGGGAAAGCTAAGTGAATCAGCTATGTACAAATGGAGAGTATGTTTTTTATCCTTTTTTTATAAAAATATACTAATACTTATAGAATGCTCTCCGTGCACTTAAAGAAGAAGGTCTTTTTACAAAGGATTCTATACCTAATTAGATTGCTTTGTACAGTATTTATATGCCTATTATTCGAGCAGAGGTATATAATTTTGTCCAAGTATGGAATATCCATAGAATTCGACGCCAAACAAATCTAAATTCTGTTGCTGGCAAGCCGTACATGCTGTATCACTATCCGGATGAAGATATTTCTAATTATACTACCAGTGCAGAATATACCGTACAGAGACTTTAAAAGATGTCCAGGAATATGATATGTTTTGCCTAGCTATACAAAACTTCTACTAATAGCATTTAGAGCTTGATTAATATCTTCCTGCAGAAACCTTGCAATTTTGTCGTACACAGCTTCGGGGATGGGCTTTGACCCTGAAAATGTATTACCAAATGGACTGGATGCCGATCTAATACCATTTCGTACTGAATATCTGCAGCTACGTGAGGCTATCACCTTGCATATTAATATGCAGTCTGAGCCTGTACTGGGATTACTAAGTCGACCGGTTGGGGCGCTTGACTGGGAGCCTGACGTGGCATAGCAAACAAAGTATCTTTTTATATCTTGTACGGATTCCTATTCTCTCTGTTTCTCTTTTATCTGTACAGACTTATAATTCTCTTTGCAAATGCGGCCATCTTGGTCAAGGTTCTGTGGCCTGACCGGTCAGCGTTATCTAGAAGGTGAAGCATGTCTTGATTGTGGCGCTTTACCTTCCATTTTAATTGATTTAACTAATTCTCCTTCTTCCCGTACATCTCATGCATTATCTATCTCCCAACGATTCTCTTCTTATCCCCGTACATCACAGCGGCAGCCAGTATTTTAACTATTATCTAGACGGAGCAGACAGCAACATATCACCCGTCCAACCTCGTACAAAGCTACAGTGGCATATTATCGTCGGGTCATTAATATGGACGATCCAAGAGCATCGAAAACACTAAGTGAAATTGGTTAGTATAAAGATTATAAGCAAAATAGTCAATGCTAACCAAAATAAGATAGGATTTAGATCCGAATTACTGCGCGTACGGTTAATAATATTAAAGAGTTTATCTCTGAAGATCTTTTACCTGGTATAATTAAACATCCTCTTTATAGAAAAGAGGAGGATGAGACATTTCAACTAGCTACCAAAATTAAAGGACGGGTACCAACGTTTATTAGCTATACACTATCTGGATGTCTAGCAATTGAGGACCTACTTACTTGGTTTGAATATTGTACGGTCAATGGTGAGAGAGACTACCAAATCTTCTTGGTAATTGAGCGCTATCTTGCACCGTACAATAATGACTTTCCTATTAAAAAAAGAGAAGGAAGAGAAGGTTAAGATCAAAAAAAAAAAACAAAAAAAAAGGAGAAAGATCCTCTTTTTCTAAGAGAAAGCTCTGAACAGACTTCTACTTTACCTATCTCTCGAAAAAGATCTATTCAATCTTCATCACCAGGTAATTCGTCTTTTTTTTGTACAGAAAAGGATTCGTCTCCAAGTGAGCTGGCTTACCGTACAAGAAAGAAGTATGCACTAGGTGAGAAGGATAAGGAGAGAATAAAGGAATATGGCCCTTTTTTTTGAAAACGAGTAAGGTATTTAAATATGTACAGCCTTAGGCAGAAAAAATATAGTGAATGTTTTTTGTACAGAATTTGTAGAGACCCTCCAAATTCTCTCACTTTTCTACATGAATCCCACTACAATTACTACCTCTACCACCTTTACCCCCTTTTTACCCCCACCAGAATGTCGTACGTACATAAAACTTGGCGAGATGATTAAACTTAGCATAATAAGTGTCTCTTTAAATTTTTATAATAATCGGACAAGATTTTGTTGGCTAATTTTAATGCTTTATATAGGTTTAATAATAACAACCGTCGCCGTGTCCCCCTCCCCTCCAGCTCTTACATTGGATGGCTGGTTTCACCATATGTACGAGAGCCTGCCTGCTGGACAGAATCCAGTCTTGCCAACGAGCCAGTCCAATCTCTTGGCCAACTACGTACATACTGATATAGGTCGGCAGCTGCTGGCCCTTCCAGGGCAAGACATTGTATTTATCCGCGGCAGGATAACTCCTTGTCATCTTATGCAGCATCGTCCGTCGTATATTAATGCCTTGCTTATTCAATCCCGTGGGCGGACGCTGCCAGTGCCTTGTGAGAGATGCCGCACTCCACAAGGTATGCGTCCTTTTACCGAATGTCGCCATGTACTGGGTGTATTCGGCGGTGCATGCGCCAACTGCAAATGGCCGGATCTGGCTGCCCGCTGTACTGTACGGGATGAGCTCTGGCGGTCCGTAGCATATCCACTGGATAGACTACAAGAGCGGGTTGTTGGCCTGGGTACTGGAGGAGAGCATCAGCAGGCAATCGGTTCCTCTCAGCAACATCCAATTAATTTGGACGCTGAAGAAGGTGAACAGGAGAATCCGATTGCTTTATTAGACGACGACCAGGAGGAGGGCTGAGCTTACTAAAGCACAACTTTTTAAATGGCGGGTAAGTTGACCTTTATTTTAACTGCGTACGGAAACTAATTACAATAGGAGTACTTTAAACAGCTTTTAGATGAAGGTGTTTTTCCAAGGAATCTATACCAGATTCTATTGTCTTGTACGCAGTCTACATGCCTAAGATTCGGCAGGAGGTCTTGACCTTTAGACACAACTGGAATATCCATAGGATTCGGAAACAGCCTGCACGGCATTGGGTTGTACATGGGAAGCCATACATAAATTACTATCATCCTCCTTGTCACGGCAAGGTCAAGGTCAAGTCGTGGGCCCGGGGCCCACGACCTCCAGATCACCTGATTTCCAGCCCTAGCCCTATCCAATCACGCGATCACACATCCTACACCTCTCTCCTAGCAACACCTCTTCAGATATAGCTCTTCAAGTTAGTTGTTTCGAATATGAGTCGCCCTATGTTCTGAATAGATCTTGTTTCATTCAATTTAGGTTTAGGACCGTGACACATATTAAGATGGACCTCTCATTCAAAATGGTTAATAGCAAGATAATTTAGATAAATGTCTTCTCAATTTCTGGGTGGAATCCATGTGTGCGAAGTATGTATCCAGTATATTCTTTTAATAGTGCTTACTAACTTGCAAGTTGCTAGGAATTAATACCTTTGCATATACTTTTTTAATCTCGAAACACCCGATGCATATGCTGTAATTTTCTTAAAGCTATTTAAAATACTTGGAAATGTGGCTTGCTTACCTATACAGTTTCCTTATATTCAACATCGTAAGAATGAGATCTGGACTATAACTATTAATATGTGTAAGAAGCAAGCACCAGGTATATAATAAACAAAATATATACCTGGTATTTGCACCCTGTTAAATATATTAGGTCTTGGAGATTATTTGCATATATTAGACATATCAAGAGAGTGGTCTGAGCACCTTCTCTATGTGATTATATTCTGCCAAACTCACTTAAAGCGTAATTTTCGCTTAAAGTATAAGGACCACCCTGCAGAGCACCTTCTTAACAGCCTGTTAGAAGCACCGTCCAAACCTAATTTGCTTGAGCGTATGGACTACATATGCAATATATATCCTAAGACTAAATCCTGGCTAGAGGGAAAAAAAAAACGGCCGTGGATCTTAAGTGCACTGACCCCGGAATAATTAAAGATACAGATTAAACACTGGACATATGCTCGGAAACATACCGGAATTAGTAAAAGTAGTTATTTTCAAGATAATCAAGGTGTTGGCCGGAAGCAGTCACTCCTGGCAGCTGTTTTAAAGTAAAGTATATCCAAGGTAGATACAGAGTATAGTTAATAATATACTAACTATATACTTAGATTACAAAGGTTTATATTTAAGGCCTTTACTTAGAATAAGATACAGATTAAGGAGGGTATTCCACCTTCATGGAAAATCCAAACGAACGTTCAAAGGCGCACTAAGATTATTCGAAAGCAAAGTATGTTAAACTAAAGGGCTGGAGCCTGTTTAATTTCTCTAGCTACTATATTATCCCTATTGCCCCTATTGTTCAACATGAACAGTGTATATGCTGTTTACATACCAGGCTAATACTATACATAGATCAACAGCAAAAAAAGGCAGCGAACCGCCGGCAGAAGAAGCTATACTTACCATGGAATCCAGGGAATCTATATAATACACCTCTTCAAAATACAGACGGAGTGGCCATGCAAGACACTGATTTCCTATCAGTATCTAGCCTTAACACATGCTCGTCTTATGCCGGGCATGTACCTGCAAGTCAACGAACACACCCACTTAGCACTGTACAGAGTGTTGGTGAAGATAGCGTTATCGAGACCCCTGCTAGATCACCCGCTGTGTATATGCTAAACATAGACCCTTTAGAAGAGTGTTTAAAGGAGCTTGAGGGACTTAAGCGACGAAGAGATATGGTTAAGCGAATTAAGGAGCTTGAGGAAGAGGTAAAGGGAAAAAAAAAAAAAAAAAAGGGAAATCCCTGCAAGTGCAGAGCATACACCTAGTAGATGTATAGTATGTTAAAAAGCTATTTTAATTCCCTAAACAATGGCTAGACTAGTATTTGCTCTGCTTATTCCTAGACTCTATAATTTATCTCTAAAACCAACCGTGCATATACCCTACACAGTCTCCGGCACTAACTTGGCAGCATCCTTCTTGGCGCGCGCCGGCTGCTTCCGGCTACCAGTGGCTACAAGTTCTCAGCAGATGCTTAGTATAAGGGGATGTGCTATACTTACCTTTGTAACCCTTTTTCAGTGGAGCACGCTTGCGCTTGGGGGCAGACAGTAGGGTAGGTGGCTCAGAGGGTAATGGGGAGATTTGCGCTGCATATACTTAGTATATTATAAAAGCTTAGGTTCCAGGGGCACATGCCTTGTGACCAGAGACCTTACCCAGCTTCTAGGAAATATTAGCATACGCAGGGAATATGTAGAGTAAATACCCGGATCACATATAGGACAATGGAACTTAGTCCCAAACTGCTGAGCAAAGTCGTTATCTTCCTGGCTAGTGGTTCTTAGTTATATACTATGCATATAATACAGATATGCTCTACTCACGCCAGCTGCTCGAGGAAGTTACAGCAATCCTGAATAATACTGTACATAGGACCCTCACTAGCATACGTTAGCCCTACGCCCAACGTACACATATATATATGCAGAGGGGAGGACATACCCAGGCTCCTTCACGTAACAGGCAGTTCTCCATCCTCTGCTAAGGATCCATTGCTTTAAAGCGCTGTCAATTATTAGCATATGCTCAAGAGAAGCTACGTATCCACTAACTTTTCACCCGCAATGCGCTCAGCCTGGGGAATGTTAGTGCAGAAGGGATTAAGAGCTATGAATCCTTAGCATCTGCTAGACCTATATAAGGAATAGACAACTCACTGGCACCGGGATGGGCGTTTCGGATGTGGCGGCGAAGCTATGGAATAGGTAGTATATACTAACGATGTGCTAAAAAACACGACCTACAGCAATCTGAGAACGGACGGGCTGGCCACACATTTGGTTGCCATTGACTGCGATGTTGCATCTGCAAGGTTGTCAGCCCATGCTTAGCATATGCCAGGCATGTTAATTACTTACACCATGCTATTAATACCTGACAGTCTTGAACCAGGAATTAGGACATCTGTAAATAATTAGCATATGCTGCACATCTGCGGGGGCCCCAGAGACCTGAGTAGACAGGTTAGTAACCAGTACCGAAGCAGTTATGAACTAGTTTGTAATTAGTTAAGCTATTAATATTCATCACATTCTAACATATATAAATATATATTCACATGGCAACAAGATACGGCTTCTACAATAAGTATGCTTTGTATTATTTTAGGATTAGTAGAAAAGTAGAGATAGATGGCTTTAAACATATATAGGTGTTATAATATATATTATCTATACAAGAATATGAACTATTTTCCATCTAGTTAGTAACTAGTTGCCAACCGGTTAAGAACTAGTTATGTTCCTTCGCAAAACTCAAGGCGGGCGGCGTTTTCTGGTATTGTCAGGGGATTGAAAGGGCAAAATACCACTAGGCTGAAAAGTTCGATGTCAATCGGAGGGTCGTCACATGACTTCCCTATTTGGATGCCCCACTCCGAACCTTGGCGGACCCATGTTCAGCCGACCTGTGTCCTGGGGGCCCCATACTCTTGTTGTCCGCGGTGGTCACAGGTGTGCGGGGGTCCGGGTGTGGGCGCCAAGTGGGGTTTAGGTTCGGGATGGGACCTGCATATGTTAAGCACATGTTGTAAATATATTAAGTAAATACTCACCGTGGAAGTAACCGTAGTCGGGGTGGGGGTTCACCGCCCTAGCAACCTCTGGATTGTCAAAGTCTTTACACGAAAGCTGCATTCTCTGCATATTAATGGTATATGCTGAGAACAAGGCCCCTAAATAAAAACTAAAATCATCAGTGTATTCTGGCATGCAAAAAAAGAGAAATTGGGTCACAGATTGGTAGTATATGCACTGGGTATGCAGAAAAGAAAGGGTCATATAAATGGTTGTAATTATATACTCTGGGCATACAGAAAGGAAAGGGGAGAAGGAGAGGTTTCAAGTCTTCCGGTCAAGGTATATACGCGGTATATGCCAAGAAGGGACATGTGATACTCACTCAAGAAGGGGAGTTTAAAGAGAGAAGAAGAGAGAAAGAATAAAGAGAAAAAAAATTAGGTCTTCTAGTTCCAAAATAAATGCAAACGCGGCCAACATTTTTATTACCCAATTTGGGTGTAGGATCATTCACAGTGTGTTGCAAAATCTGCCTCTATTATTTAATATAGTGAATATGTTGATTATATATATTGATGATGCAATGAATAATCTCACGCAGTTTAATGTTTTGAGCATATGCTCAGTATATGCACCGACCGGGGACTGACGCTAGGCCAAAAGGTCAGCGTGGTCAAGCTACGCTGAAGGGATTCAACACAGGACACAGGTCAGTCGCACGTGGGGCAAACCTCGCGCAACAAGCCTAACCGCCTTTGGAGGTCAGCTGACCTCCCGCCAAGAGCTCCGTATTTAATCCATGTTGCGCGACCTAAATTTTTATTACCTTACCATATCCCTACACCGCTTTAACTAGCTACTTCACAGCAACACCAAATACTATAGTTATTATTTTATAGCGAATGTCAAGGGCTAAACCTCTATAACCTAATAACTAGGGTGGATACAAAAGGAATCGTCGAAGAGGAAAGAGAAGAGGAAACAGCGATGAGACGATTGCGAAGTAAGGGGGAAGTCACATGATAGAGTGTACTAATCAATATACTAATCATGTGGCAGGCGAGGAGAAAGGAAACACGAGGGCTGAGGGCCCGAGTAGGCTGAGGGGCTCTAGCCCCTTACACTACTCCTTCCTATATATAAGGCCTCCGAAGGAGGCCTAATAGCGAGGCGGGTTGCTGGCGCGGGCTGTAAGCTTTTTTCGGAGGTTTCTCGGAAGTATCAGACAAAGTAGAGCGGGCATCGCAGTCTGCGATCCAATGATCATTAGAACCGCAGTAAAGGCATAAATTATTCGCAAGTCGGAAACGGCGGCGGTCAGAGGTGGTGGATTCATGAGAAGAATCAGATAAAACAGGCGAAGCAGCTCGGGCTACTCTCACAGAGCCAACATGAACAGGATTGGGGTTTATTTTAACTGAGTTGACTCGGACCGGATCAGTATCCATTGGGTCTGTATTCGGGGTCAAAGCTGGTTTCGGGGCTGATTTTGGACTAGGACGGGTACGCCGATCGGTACTCTGGACAAGTTCAATATATTCATTATAGGGAAGATCAAAGAGAGAATTATTCGAGTCTTCTAGTATTCGACGGAGATTAGGCCGTAGCCCCGGTGTAGCGTGGTAACACGTGATATATCTGGCCATGAGTTTACATTGGCTTCATATGAAAGTCGTTCAAAACGAGCAAGGTAGGCGATAAGCGATTCGTCATCCCTCTGTTGTATAGAAGTAAAGCGCTGAATAGCCTCCTGCTGTTCCCGTGGGTTATGGCATAGACGCTGAAAAAAAGAGAAAATAACTTCAGGATCCCATAGCTGGTTTTCTTCGGCAGATTGGCGGAGGTGCAGGACAGAAGCTTGCTGAGACTGTTCTAGTCGATCCCATACATAGTCAAAAGCATCAGCTCCTACGAGCTGGTCTGATCGAAGTTTTGCTTTAATTGACGGGAGCCATGTGCGAAGCGTGTATGGTTTACCGTTAAAGCGAGGCGGATCTGGCAGGCGGGATCTGGGTGTCTGGACGGAAAGAAGCTGCGTACGAAGCTGGTGGACATCTGTTCGGGAAGCATCAAGGTCCGCACGTAGTTGCTGTATTTCATTACGCTGGTTTTGAATATCAAGGCGCTGGTTTTGGAGCTCTTGCTGGAGCTGCTGCACAAGCAGGAGGAGTGGATTCGGGTCGGACATCGTAAAGATATTCCCATAGACTGGCGGACAGGCAGGCAAGCGGGCGGGCGAGCAGGCAGGCAGGCGAGCGGGCGGACAAGCGGGCAGGCGAGCGGGCAGACAGGCAGACAAGGACGATTCCTAATGTCAAGGGCTAAACCTCTATAACCTAATAACTAGGGTGGATACAAAAGGAATCGTCGAAGAGGAAAGAGAAGAGGAAACAGCGATGAGACGATTGCGAAGAAGTAAGGGGGAAGTCACATGATAGAGTGTACTAATCAATATACTAATCATGTGGCAGGCGAGGAGAAAGGAAACACGAGGGCTGAGGGCCCGAGTAGGCTGAGGGGCTCTAGCCCCTTACAGCGAAAGCAGGAAGGTGTTTATAAAGGAGAGAACTAAAAGCCTTCGGGGCTGTAGTAAAATATATAGGGTTCCCGACAGATAAGCAGAGATAACAAGGAAGAAGGTGTATAGCGGTCGGAAGATATATATATATATTAACACAGGAAGCTACAATTCGGAACAGAACACTAATAGAAAGGGATAATTTATAACTTTAAATTATATAATTCAGCAGTTATTCAAAGAACCTATAGAATTCTCAGTCTAATTAGGACTATCAGGACTATCGTATTCAAAAAAATGCGGCGGTAGAGAGGGAGAACTAGTTAATAACTGGTTATTAACCAGTTCGGTCCCAGTTCCTGACGGCATGCTAGTCACTGGAGGTGGAATAATACCCTGAGAAAGTGACAGCTGTGTAATTGCTTCATATCTTGCTAACTGAGCTTCCCGCCATCGAATGTTTAAATCTAATTGTCGTTGATGGTAGCGCTGATTTATGCTGTTTTCAGAAGCAACCTGGCGAAGCGATGAGCCTCTCCGTCTAGGTAACTGGTTAGTAACTGGTTACAAGCTAGTTTCTAACTGATTTAAGCTTACCTTGAGCCTCGTTGCCTAGATGGAGTTTGACCTCTTGACCTTGAACTAGACCGTGAACTAGACCTTGAACTAGATCTTGAACTCGATCTAGATCTGGATCTAGATGTAGATCTTGTATGAGATGAAAATGGAGAACCTGAAGAGGTATAAGGCTGTATAGGTTCCTCGATGGTATCAATCGGGGCCTGTAATGAGGAATTCGATGATTGTCGACGGCGTTTTCGCTCTAAATAACTATTTAGTAACTGGTTACAAACTGGTTTGGAACTAATTACTAATACTTACGTTCTCTGATCAGGCTATTTGCATACCGCTGGGCAATAGTGTCCGTACGATAGGAATGATGAATATTATAATTATTTCGGCTTAGATACTGATCCACATCTCGGGAATCAAGTTGGTAAGCCCTATTTAACTAGTTAGTAACTAGTCAAAAAGCAGTTAATAACTAGTAAAACATACCTTTCCACAGCTTTAACTAAAGAAAGTTTTTTCCCCACATATATCCCTTTTGATGTGACTGTTCTCCAGCATTGGTATGAGGTATAGCCTTTTGAAAAATACTAGAATCCATTCTAGAACAGAATCTATTAAGACCAGCTGCAATAACTGGGTCAGCTTTATGAGCTGCCCATTGTTGGATCTTCTCATCACTATTTTCGTAAACTGGTTATGAATCAGTTAGCAACTAGTTTATAAGTACTTGGAAATTAGTTAGATATACTTAAAAGTTGCTGAATCAGATCATAGTAATCTGATTGACTTTGACAATCTAATAAAGATGCCATGCGATTAAAAAGCTCTGTTCCACGCTTCTGGCGGCCGATAGTTTGATCAATTCCTCTTAAAAAGTGCACTCGACAGAATATTAGTATATTCATTAAATGAAACTCAGCTGGGCGGTGATCTGGGTCAACAGAAGTAAGATATTGACCAAGTCCTTATTAATAACCAGTTAGCAAGCAGTATTTAATTAGTTATAAGGTGCTTAAACTAAAAATTACCTTTTATCTGTCCGTAATCCATATCAACTACAAGGCTCTCAATCCCAGATCCATGAAGATACTTAAATTGTACTTCAGATCCAGAAACATCTTGAATAACATCAAAAACAGTCTGAAATAAAAGCTTATAGCCTTCAGCATCTTCACGATTTGTAAGAGCACGAAGCAGGGTAATAACTATAAAGTAGTTAATAACTAGTTAGTAACTGGTTAAAAACTACTTTAGAACTACTTACTTTTCCCATGCTCAGGAAGAAATGCAGCAAATATTACTTCCTTTAGCTTGTTTGCACGTATTCTTTTATAACTCATATCAATTTCAAACGAGGTAAGTGACTTAAGAAGCATAATTTGCTCTTTTAGTCCACATATAATTATTGTGGTTTCTTCTGTATTAAGAATACGGTGAACATACTCCTAGCAATTAAAATTAGTTAGTAACTGTTTTAAAACTAGTTAAGAACTAGTATATAGATATCTTACCTTCAGCTGAGAATTCCGCTCCATTTGAAATTGAAGTCCGTTTAGGTACTGTCCTTGAGGGTATAAGGCCAGTTAGACTGCGGCAAAACCGCGGTTTTGGGTATCATAGTCAAAACCACAACCGCAGATTTGCGGTTTTGGATATCACTTTGAAAACCGCAACCGCAACCGCAGATTTGTGGTTTAACCACGGTTACCCATGGATAACCGCAAGAAAACCGCACTAGCATAACTCTCGCTTCTTTAACCAATTCTAGCATATCAGGTGACACTTATGCAGCTTACATACTCTTGTTTTTAATTTGAAAATACACCTGTTCTGGTTAATACAGTGAGCCCGGTTAACCTCTCAGGCCAATTGTTCTTATTGTCCCTACTGTCCCTATTGCCCCTATTGGTTGTAGCTCCTCTAACGTTTTATATACGTGTACCCAGGCAATATGCTCCTGGGAGTGTACGATAATAAGCTATTCCGAAAACTTAAAGACAAGGAATGTGTTGCAGGCCACGCCCGTATATTACTCCTATTCGCCTTCGCTGCAATTGGCGCACATGATTGGTCCGCTTATTGCAGTTATATAACCTCTCGTAGTATAAGAACGCACGCTTCTTCCCCTTTACTTTCTTTATCTTAACGATTCCTCTTTGTGTATATCTAGTTATTAGATAGCAAGGCATTTCGCCCTTGTTAAAGTATGTTTGTTTGCCCTAAAAGTTAAATAAAAGCATGTAAAATAATAAAAATATCTAAAAGGTCCTCCATAGGATTAGGCACTGGACGAGTCTATATTAGCCAGCTGCAGTACAGATGGTCTAATATAGACACAAGCACCTACTAGGAATCGAACCCAGTACCTCTAGATTACTAGATCTAATGCATTACCACTAGACCATTGGTATATTATAAGTAACCAAGAAGGTACATGGCATTATATGTCACGGACCTGACCTTGCTATATAGTACACTGAGCTCGATGACCGTTCGGTCATCGATTTGCGCCTTTTGGCTGTGGCGTAGTGGTAAAGCTCAGCACCACCACTACGCAGTCGGACTTAGGTCCTCACATTATATCACTGCCGTGAGGTCCTGGCCCGATCCTAGCATCACCATTCACCAAAGTCAGCAAGTAATATTGCTTCCTTGCAACGAACGCATGCTTCTTTCCCTTTACTTTTATTATCTTAACGATTCCTCTTTGTGTATATCTAGTTATTAAATAGCAAGGCATTTCGTCCCTGTTAAAGTATGTTTGCTTACTCTAAAAGTTAAATAAAAAGTATGTAAAATAATAAAAATATCCAGAGGTCCTCCATAGGATTAGGCACTGGACGAGTCGATATTAGCCAGCTGCAGTACAGATAGTCTAACATCGATTCAAGCACCTACTAGGAATCGAACCCAGTACCTCTAGATTACTAGATCTAATGCGTTACCACTAGACCATTAGTATATTATAAGTAATCAAGATGGTCTTGGGCATTATATCATCGCCGTGAGGTCCTGGCCCGATCCTAGCATCACCATTCACCAAGTCAGATCAGATAGTAATATTGCTTCCTTGCAATGCATAAGTCATTGTAGCATTAGTTTGCAATATCGGTTTGTGTAGTTTCTTGCTTATTTTATCTTTTATATTTGGTTGTGGGAGGGTGATAAAGCATTGTAGTATATATAAATATCCACCCTATTGCTTACTTTGATCCTTTTTCTTAAATAACGAGCCGAATATTGATATATCGCCTCTTATTTTGCGTAGCTAGTAAGTGGTGTTTGTCTGAGATTTTAAGATTACTAAGGAATTCAGGATGTTGTTGTAAAAATATATATTTTATACAAATAGAAGTTAGTACACTCTCTGAATGAACTTTTATAAGATTTCGTAGGTTGACTAAATCAGGCTATTATAGATTAAAATTATTACTGAAGAATAGAGAAGAGCCTATTATATTTATATTTTACTTTAAATTTAGTATATTTACTTAAAAATTCAGGAGAAACCAGGTTTCTATTTCAAATTGCTTGAATTTGGTGATTTTTTTCCATTGCGGTTATCTTGTGGTTATCCATGATAACCGCAAGATAACCGCGTTAAAACCGCATTAAAACCGCGTTACCATCGCTAGTCACCCAATTAACATAGAGTATAGTTTTGTACAGGTCGAACTCGCGGTTGCGACCTGTTTATCTCCTAAATAATAGGGGAATTCCTGTAAGTCCCTCTCCCTTTCTCTTCTCCTGATGTCTCTTTATTATTTCTAGTTTCTAATCTTTAGGAACTTACGACAATGTCTCAGTCCCAAGTATCCTTTTATTCTGATTCCTTTATCAATCCCGATCTTCTTCAATCAGATGACCTTCCTGATTTACCAAGCAGTCAACCAACTGTGACTTCTATTCCTTTTACTCCCCCTCCGCGATTTTCTTATGCGCCGAAGTCACTTGAACGTGTCGGATCTACACTTCGAAAGTTCTGGATTCTCTATGCTACTAAACCTGAGATGGATGACTCCCGGAAACAATTCGTGGAATAGTGGTTAACAACTACATTTGGATTGAACTCTTAATGCCGAGATAGCTTACATTGGGATGGGAAAAAACATCAGTGCTTTGGGAGCATTTTAAACAGGTTGCACACGAGAAGACTGGCGAGCCCAAGGTTATGTGTAAGCGGTGTTTTGCAACCCTTACTCATCCAGGTTATAAGCGTACGGGAACCTCTGCACTTAAAGCACATCTGAACGGTGGTACATGTCGCTTAGAAAAAAAGAGGCAAGGGATTGACCAGTTAATACGTGAATCAGTACGTTTTAAATATTGTTTTAAAGATATAGAGAGAGACTACTAATATTAGTATTATCTAGCCGCGTGCACTAACAAAGGTCTTTACCAATAATCTTTTCCAGCGAAGAATTCTTAACTTTATTACCACCGCCCGTCTCCCATTTCGTATTGTTGAACACCCAGAGTTTAAAGACCTTCTCGAAGCTGCCCAACTCTCTGAATCAAGGCTTGATATTCCTTCTGCGCGGACTATCCGACGACTTTTAGACAACACTGTCCAGGAAAGGCAACAAAATATGCTTAGCAAACTTCCAAAAGGAAGCTATCTCTCAGTTGCACTTGACTGCTGGACATCTCCCTTTTCCCAGGCATTTATGGCAATTACTGGATATTTTCTTGATCAAGAATGGAATTACTGCGAGGTCCTTCTTGGTTTTAAGCATCTCCAAGGATCGCATACCGGTGCTCACTTAAGACAGACTGTGATTCGAATACTCATGGAACATAATATTGATAATCGTGTATTATCAATTACCACAGATAATACGTCAAATAACAACACCATGATGGTAGGTGTCCAAGAGATAATTTAATCGCAAGCTCTAAGTGGGACTTCTGTCTTCCGAATTCCATGTATTGCGCATGTTATCCAGCTTAGCCTAAAGGATCTACTTGGAAAGATAAAAGCAAAACGAACAAATAAGGAAGCAAGACTGAGTGGTCTGATCCGTACACAGTCACTACAAACTAGCTCTCGGCAGCCTACAAGGAATATTATGGGAACCTTAAAAAAGGTAAGTATATCTTCGCGCTCTCTTTATACTTATACTAATATATATTATCCTTAGATTCGAGAGCTGCTGTCTTTATCAATGCTAGTCCACAGCGCAGGGAAGCTTTTCTTACCCTTCAAACTACTGAGCCTAAGCTTGTTCCGATCCAAGATGTTCGCACACGCTGGAATTCTACCTTTCTGATGCTTAATCGTGCCAGGAAATTACAATCAGTCTTTGATCGGTATTGTATAACATATCAACATATTCAATTTAAGCTAGATGAAGAGGAATGGCGCCAAGTTGAATATTTGCTTCTGATCACTAAGCCTTTCTTTGATTTTACTAGTGTATTATTAAAGACCAGAGATGTTACAGTTCACCATGTCTTCAGTATCTATAATCGACTATTTAATCATCTTGATGACGTTGAGAAGAAACTGAAACGTAAAGCTGTCCCATGGAAAAGGAGAATGCTTCAGGCACTTCAGTCAGCAAAAAAAAAGCTACTCAAAATACTACACTGAAACAGACAATGAGTCATATGGCACAGTCTATGCAATTGCAACAATTCTCTGTCCATCAAAGAAGCTTCGATACTTTGATAATGCGGATTGGAGAGGAAAAAATAAGAAAGGAGAGGAAGTCGATTTCATGAAGCATTACCGGGAGGTTTTACAGAAGGAGTTTAAGCGATATCAGCAGCAGGTTATCCAGGAAACAGAACCGGTTGATAACCAAGCAATCTTTGATCCTGCTGAAAATGAGCTTGAGCTATTATGTGAATCACAGACAGCTCTACAAGCTGAAGTGGATCAACCGGAGGATGAAATAACACGGTATTTGGCAAAAGATAAATATTCTCTATTTCTATACTATTCTGAAGTTAATTAATTTTATAGGGCTTACAAAAGGTAATCCTCGGGTCTTCTGGAAGGAGCATGAGCACGAGTATCCAGTTCTTGCAAAGATTGCACGAGATATCCTCTCAGTTCCTGCGAGTGGCGCTGGTGTTGAGCGGCTTTTAATTGTGCTCGTGATGTCTGTCACTATCGTCGGGGACAGTTAAAGCCAGGCACAATTAAAGATCTAATGCTCCATCTCTTCTCATCTAAGTTTGATCTTGAACAAAGCGAGCTAGAGATGATTAAAGAGTATCTCTCTGTCGGAGAGGCTGCTATGCTTGATCAGACAAGACAGCCTGTTCCATCGCTTAATGAACTCGAACCAATTAGTGATAATGAAGAAGAGGGTTGCGAAGCAGAGGATTTATCTGAGGATGATACAGATGAATCTGATAACGAGGCAGAAGAAGGGTTATCTACCACGCAGCCTGTAGCTCAAACTAAGCAGGTACAACGGAAGCGGTGCCGAAGTAACAGCTCTGAGGCTATAGATGATGCTGATAATGGTCTCCCACTTCCCGATATGCCAATTGAGAAGACGCAGGCGCGGTCAGGGGAGGGTTCGGAAGAGGCCTAAGCTACCTGAGGGATTTGAGATTGATAAGCTGTAATATTAGAGACTTAGAAGAGAAATCGAATTTGGTCTAAAAGTGTATTCTAAAGGTTTTAAATTAAGAGACATAGGTAATCTATTACATACTAGATACTCCAAAAAAAATACTGCGAAAAGTGCACAATTTATGCATTCACTGGAAAGTCACGAGTTTCAGCATGTTTGTAATGTTTACATATCCATGGATAACCGCAAAACCGCGGTTTCCAAAGTGAAAACCGCAACCGCCCACAGTGCGGTTTGCGGTTTTAAATCAGCCCCAAAACCGCAAATTTGCGGTTGCGGTTTTGGTTATCCGCGGTTGTCCATGGTTTTGCCGCAGTCTAAGGCCAGTCGCTCCTTATAAATCAAAAGTGAAAAACGATCCATATTTGCAAAACTTGGATGAATCTCTGTTAAACTATTACAATTATAGTTTTGACAGAGGTCTTGCAGCTGAGGGCTTCGTAGAAACGTAGCTAAGTAGGTATTAGTAACTAGTTTATAAGTACTTTGTAAGTAGTTAAAAACTAGTTAGCAACTAGTAAAATATTGAACGTACTTAATTTCAGCTCAGGATCTTTAAGGTCCTGGATCAGCTTTCGAATATCACTCATAATTTCAGGTGGTGCTTTAGAAGGTGGAGGTGGAGGATGTATATGCTTTCCATGTGATGTAAAAGCATAAAAGGACATTCAAGTATATCCTTTGGTATAAGAATATTAAATACAACATCACAAGGCATAATCTTCAGATCTTGTACACCGTTAGGATGGTCAAATCCTATAAGCATTTATAAAGTGGTTAGCAAGTGGTTAATAACTAGTTAAAAAGCAGTTCTTACCACAATGTCCTCGACGTGTGTGAACTCCCTCAATTACTCCACAACTTCCAGATACAGGAGTAATATTCTGAGTAAAAATATTGGACAGAAAATTGAGATCAGTATCTGTTCGAAATGCTAAAGATTGAAAAGATGATCCTTATAGTTGGTAGGAGTGGAATTGCTGCAAGTAATATAAGGATGATAGACACCTGCAACAGTCTGTAATTAGTTAATAACTAGTTTGGTAGCAGTTCTTAAGCGGTTTATACCAGTTACTAACCTGCTGAGCTGGCCATTTGAAAACAGGAGAGCAACTCTCCAGCCATGAATGACATGCTGAGTGCCTTTTAAAGGCACGCTGAATACCATTATAAAGCCTAGTAATTAACTAGTTAGCAGCTAGTTAACAACTAGTTAGCAACAAGTATTACCCATATGCCTTTCGCTTTCTGATATCCTCTTCACTTGACTCAAGTACTTTTCTTATATCTCGAATTGAATGCCATGTTGCATCATCAATTTTGTAGTGATCAAGATGCAATAATGTAGGATGAAGGTTAGAACAAATCTTAACTCCACTACATTTATATTGACTTCGAAAGACTCCTACTTGTAGGAAAGGACAAATAGACGAGTGTTTTTGATATCGTTGCCTAGAGGAATATTGAATCTTAATTAGTTAATAACTAGTTATTAAGCAGTTAGAAACTAATTCAAGAGTAATTACCCCCTTTATAATATTCTGAACTTCAGGCGGCCTCCTTGGGCTAAGTGGTATAATATAGGTATGCCCACCCTCACCTGACTCCGGATATTCAGGAAGAGTAAGAGAATATTCAATTTTATGAGTAATCAATCGTGTTTGCATGCCATTTGTTAGAACAGTAGGAATTACTTCCTAATAACTAGTTAGTAACTAGTTATCAACTAATTATAATCACAAATGTAATATAATAATGGCAAACCTGATCGATTTCATTAAAATTCTCAGCATCTGAGCCCTCATCCTGGCTGAGGTAGGCAACATCACTCGTAGTACTCATCTTTGTATAATGGAAACTAGTATATAACTAGTTATGAAGCACTTAGAAACTGGTTGTGTTTTTTCGAAATTCTGCCGCGGACGGAAATGGAATAGGGAGATGGTAAAGTAATGAAAAATTTAGGTCGCGCAACATGGATTAAATACAAAGCTGTTGGCGGGAGGTCAGCTGACCTCCAAAGGCGGTTAGGCTTGTTGCGCGAGGTTTGCCCCACGTGCGACTGACCTGTAGTCACGGATTCAACATGGTCTAAAAAGTACGGAAAATTTAATTTTAGACCACGCTGAGCCCATGCCAAGAAAAGGCTCACCGTGGTCTAAAAAGGCGGTGGCGGAGGTGGCAGAATTTTAGCCCACGCCGAGGTTTTTTTAGACCACGGCGAGCTGGCACCCGATGGCGGCCCTTAGTCACCCATCTAGATAACTTAGTTACATAACTGGTCAACTTGCCCAAGCCTCCTGAATTAAAGAGAATTGTGCTGTTGAGTATCACGGTGGCTGAACCTTATGGCAGGGATTAGGAACAGATATATATGAGGCATCCTGCCCCTGTAAAAGATAGGGCGTTGCTTAATCGACACCCCCTATATCTACATCGACACCCCCATATGATAGATCGACACCCCCACGTGACCCACTAGTGCAAATATGGTATAGCACTGTGCCAAAAATGTGGATTAGGGCTAAATATTAGGGCAAAATGTAAACACCAAAATACACCACCCCAGTTAACCCCAATGGCATCAAATCAGTCATTAGTATCTTATCTCCAGGGCTATGAAAGCTCTGAAGATGAACCAGAGCCTCAAGAGGATTATAATACTAATCTCCACAGAATCCCCTTGCCTCCGTACCTTGAGGTGGAATCCTTCGACACTGAATACGCAGCGATTGAATTTATTAATGAATTTGGTGAACAGAATGGCTTTGCGGTGACTATCAAGACCTCCAAGACTAAAAAGAACAATCGCTCGGTCAAGCAGGCTGTTTATTTAAAGTGTGATCGGGGAGGAAATTATGAGAATCGGGTGCAGGATAATAGCCAGCGTCAACGCCATGGATCTACTCGCCTAACAGGTTGTCCATTTTCTATTGTATTACACCGTCAGCGTGATGATTCCTGGAAGGCCAGAATAAGAGAGAATTACCATAACCATGAGCCCTCACCTATATCAACGCATCCTGTACTCCGCAAGCATAAGATCTCCCAAAATGCAGATAACATCAAGGCCCAGTTTAAGAATGGATTGACAGCACGTCAGGTCAGGGACACACTAGGAAATGTTACAAACCGTGATCTATACAACTTCAGGCAAGATATGAAGCGGCAGTTTCTTAATGGGAAAACCCCTGTACAGGCATTACTTATGGCCTTCCCAGAGGATGGTAATTGGATAATTAACTATGAAACCCATGATGATGTCCTTACTGCAGTATTCTTTGCCCATAAGGAATGCTTAAATCTTCTTCGCCTTAATGATGGAGCAGTTTTATTTATGGATACAACATACAAAACTAATAAATACAAAATGCCCCTCTTGGATATTGTGGGCTGTACGGCAACCAATCGCACCTTTTATGTTGGATTTGGCTTTATGCATAATGAGAAGGAGGAGACCTTTACCTTTATCCTTCGCAGCTTAGAGGAGGTTTTGGCTGGCTGTGGGATCAGTCATCCCAAGACAATCCTTACTGATAAGGACCAGGCCCTTACAAATGCAATTCAAGATACCTTTCCTTTTACAGACCACCTTCTCTGTGTGTGGCACATCCAGAAGAATATTATGAAGGAGGCTTGGCCTATTCTGCGTACAGAGGTGGTCCGTACAGAATATAATAACTCTCAATCTGCAGCTAGGGATCCCGAATTCAACGATAAGATCAAGACAAAATGGGAGCAAATGTTTAAGTTATTTATAAAGGTTGTCAACGCAAATACTGAAGAAGAAAAGGATTATCAGTGGGCTAGTTTCTGCGCGGAATACAATAATAACATCTGGCAACCAGTTCTACGCTATATTGAAGATGAATGGCTTTCAGAGGAAACTGCAAAAAAATTTATACATTGCTACACTAATACATACTGTCACTTTGGTCAGAGAACTACTTCCCGGAATGAATCAGCACATTGGATTATTAAAAATGCACTCTATACATCCCGAGAGGACCTCTTGAATTCGGCTCAGATTATTAACAAAGTTGTTGTCCACTCAACTCAGCAGGCATGGGAAGAAATTGAAGATGACCGTGTTAAAAGACCACTCTCACTTTTAATACCTTTATTCCAGTACACCTTAAATAAAGTATCACGGTACGCACTATTTAAGGTTAAGGAGATATGTGATCGCTATCTTCCACCTGGTACTAAAGGTAAAACACCTATTCCAGAGGAATGCACAGGTCTTACTACACGTACAATGGGATTCCCATGTATTCATACAATTAAGAAATACTATGATGGTAAAATGCCTATTGGTCTCCATGAATTCCACCAACAGTGGCGGCTCTATCCTTGGAGAGAACTTCCACTAATTGACCCACGGGAGTTGGTGCTGGAGCCACACATCGTGAGACAACGGGGCCGGCCAGTGGGAGCAATTAACCGACCACAAGCTAGTGAGCCAACAAGCCAGCCAGAAGCCGAAGATATTTCAACCCAGCGGGACCTCTCTGCCTTTGAAATTGTTCAATCCAAAGATGAGCCAGTACGTGGCCGTGGACGTGGCCGTCGCCGTGGATATAGAGGCCAGCGTGGAGGCCGTCGGCAGGGACGTCTGGAAGGTCCGCAGAAGGGTCGGGTTTGTGGTGGACGACGTGGACGTGGACGTGGATTGGCTGTGGCTGAATCTACCCATACAAATGTCAGTGAACAGAAAGATACTGGGAAGATATAAGGGATAATATAGAATAAGGTGGGAATATGCAGGAAGGTCTCCGACAAGCCGGCGAAGCAACGTGGCCGGCCGGCGGCCTGGCTAGGGATAACTGAGGTTGAATTCTGAATGGCGGTCTCTATTGGTCAGTAAATAGTGAAGTTAGAGTAGCTTAGATGTAGTGTTTTAAAATGGTATGTTGAATGCTTATTTTATAAGGAAAACAAATAGCTTGAAGGCTGGAACCCCTATTTGCACTAGTGGGTCACGTGGGGGGTGTCGATCTATCATATGGGGGTGTCGATGTAGATATAGGGGGGTGTCGATTAAGCAACGCCCAAAAGATAACTACCTAAGTTAAGCAACAAGAATCAACCATCACTTGTTTCAACAATCACTTATTTCAACAAAGGTCTTATTTGAATGATTTGAGCTGGTTGGGCTCTTCTTTTATTTAGGGGTCGGCACGAATAACGAATATATTCGTATTCGTTACGAATATTCGTAATTCGCATTCGCATTCGCAATTGTTGAGACAAGTTGTTGAATATCACGGTGGCTGAGGCTTTTCACACAAGTGATAGCTGATTGATTCTTATTGATTGACTTATTAAAGGTTATTCTTTACAGAGGCGGGATGCTTCATATATATCTGTTCCTAATCCCTGCCATAAGCCTCAGCCTGTTGAAAACAAGCGATAGTACGATGATTGATTGATTGACTTATTCATTGACTTATCAAAAGTTATATTTTACAGAGGCGGGATGCTTCTTATATATCTGTTCCTAATCCCTGCCATAAGCCTCAGCAGTCTGCGATTGTTTCTTGATCCTGCCCTGCAATGGAAATCTTACCACAATCTATTAGCACGCTGGATATAATCTTGGCTGCAGAACGCAAGAGCTACTCAACAATCTCAATTTCCTTGGTAAGAGTTTCCACCACTCCCTGTGGGTATACAATGCGTAGTTGATATCTCGCCAGACACTTTCCTCGTCAGCTGAGTTGACAATCCGGACTGGCAATATATGACAGAGGTGGCTTTTACCACAGCACAACAGAACAGAAGGTGCGGTTGAGCCCTCCTTGCGGATAAGTGGTTTCAAGATCTCTATAAGCTTCGCCTTGCGAGTGTTATGGTTGATTTTCCGAGGATCTATAGCAGGGCGAATCTTTAATCTTGTTCTTCTGCCAGACACAGCTGTATTGCCTGAGCTGTAGTTTGGTTTATAAGTGGCATGTCTTGGAGATATGTGCTGGCTAGCCAGAAATTTTCGTGGTGCTGCAGTGTAGGCAATGTTTGCTGTTGATGGAACGAACTAGAACTAACAAGACCACTGACCCTGCCTTTTCTCCCTGTTTGTTTTTTTTCTTTCAAAGCTCCAATATCCTAAAGTGAGCCTGGAATGAATGTCATGCTACCATCCCAGTGGAATATGGGAACTTACTCCCCTTTGAAGAACATATCCCGGGTGAATATCTAAATTTAGACTGGTAGCTCCGTGTAGGTACTTCTCACAATTAGAGGAATCAGACTGTATTAGCATGCTGGAGGGTGGGAGGGTCATGTTCAAAAATTGAACTGTTGAACTCCGATCATCTCTTTACATCTATAACAACCAGTGCTGTTTCCCAATATGTGATTTCCATGTTGGCCTTGGGAATTGAAGAGCCTCAAAGGGTGATTGATTTCGAGGAAATGGCTTGGAAGGTGAATACTGCATGTCTGTTGGATCAATTCCCTCGAAGTCTCTCACGTGTTCAATCTCAGTCATCTCAAATGTAGTGTTGACGTGGATTCCATGAGATGATTCAATATCTCTACTTGATGATTGTTGTCTCCAGGTCGAGGCATTGAAGATAGGTTTGATGCACGGAATATTGACCACTATAATAGCAACAATCTAGCCCAGAGGTGTATTAGCAGGAAAGTGCTTAACGGATAGAGTAGTTTACTAACACTCTCACGATTTGACCAAACGATGCTGTTGTTGATGTTGTTCAGATCGTTTAATGACATTATGCAGCGGACTAGGGCGGCGCATATAACAAACACTCCTGAACAGAGCAATAGGGACATTCCAATTTTCCTAAATTGGAGCAGAAAAGACTCGGTAAGTCAACGTTTATAAATATTTCCGGGATAAAGCGGATAGATATACCGTAATAAGGAAACTTTGACTTGAATTATTAGAGGGATAGGGATGCAAACAATAAGTATATCAGTTCTGCAGAGCCTTAATATATTTTTATATTTTTATATTGGAAAGGGAAGACATACCCTATATTGGTCGCCGCAATAACAATATAATTCATTAAATCAGTCGTGCATTCAACTAAATATACTTCAGCATGCAAGTGTAAGTATTTTAAAATAACCTTAATTGCATACCTCCAGGATCTGGATAAAACTGCCAAAGTTTATATAAAGGTCGGCAGTGCAGAAATATTGTTAGAATTACAGCTATATATGTGCCAGCACACAAAATTGCTGTAACCCGGACAAGTTTTTTTAGAATAAGGCCTCGACTGTAAAGGGTCAGCATCACAGCACTTTGTTCGAAAGATAATAGTTATTGTTATATATAACAACAAAACCTGATACTCACGTGAGGCGACGGTAGAGAAATATCAAGCATGCCTTTAAGCACCAGATCATTGAAACATAAAAACACCATCCAGCAGTAAGGCACTTAGATCCAATCTGAAGACGATGGATCTCATTATTATTAAGCAACCTGTGTTGCTTAATAACAGAAGACCACCCGATATTGGTTCCATAGCGGCCTTGTTTTAGAGAAATGGTCAGCCTGAGTTTTCGGAGACGAGGACGACCTTTCTGTAGAGCATACCAGTAAGTTCCAGCATAGTCACATGTCCCTGGAAAGAGGTAAAGCCATTGTAAGTCTCCATATTAATGTATTTGGTATCTGTGCTGCTTACAGTCCAGAATAGAAGGACCAGAATAGTAAAATAGTCATCACCCTGCCATTTTCCAATCCTGTCTGCCTTCGACCGTGCGAATATCCTAAGGAGCAGAATAAGCACACCGAACCCATACTCTATCCACACCTCTGTCTCCAAAGAAGTTATATCTCCTGCCATCCCCACAAGCGTGTAGTACGAAGCTCTAGATTTCCAAAGTTAATATTTGGCAATACCACCTCTTATAGACCTAAACATGGATTATCATGTGATTGACTAGTACATATTCAGGGTTACTTTGTCTTCGACCCAAACCTTGCCAGTACCTTGGTTAATATTAAAAAAAGGTAAGCTATCATACGCCCTTTTTTTTTTTTTTTGCCCTTTCCGTTTCTTCCTGTTGGACAAACTGTAGTAACACTATTCCTTTTAATCACTGCATTTTTACTTGCGCCGTAACACATACGGATGAGTTGAAGCTCATACTGCAGCTGGTAGACCTTGTACGGCGACAGAACCAATAAATCAGTGGCAACGGATTTAGAAACCTTAATTATTCCAAAAATCAGAATTAAGTGGTCGATCATGGCTAGGCCTCTGCATGGTACGGTAGGTTAAGGACCGGGACCGCCAAGACCTAGCCTTGGCGGTTCTTGCAGAGGTCCATATTAACTTACTCCGTAGATAGGAATGTATGGTTCTCTCATTTGATAGGCTCATTCGGAAATAGTGCATTGCTTTAATGGAATCTAAAAAATGGAGCTGTGGGTATTGATGTGGGTCGATCATGGTCCATGGCCCAATATCTCCATATTAAACTTAGATAGAATTTATGGTTCTCTAAATTGATAGGTTCATTCGGAACCAGTGGATCCACTTTGCTTTTAATGAAAAATGGAGGTGTGGGTACACAGTGTTATCGTATTATACTCATTGTTACCAACCCGAAGTTACCGAAGGATGTGAAACCAAGTTAAGACAGCATATGACGTCTTTGATTAATTGGCATCTTAGGATCCTTTTTAAAGGCACGTGTTTGAATACCCGTAATTAAAATTGATCACTGATTACTAGTATAGTGACTATAGTCATTACAGACTTTCTTATAGCTACAAAAAACAAACTTTTTCATTAGTACCCACTTCTACGATGATTCAGTGGTTTTCTGTCGAAGTTACTCCTAGGGCTCCTATTTTTAGAACGTGCCCTGAAACGAACGTGGAGAGCTTCGGCCATCCACCGCCGCGTGAGCCGCCGGCGAAATTTGCCGCGAAACTTGAAACCAAATTGGTGTCAAGCCTCGCTCTTATTTGTTGCTTTATTGGGCTTCACACCCGAAATAGAGGGAATTGTCTCCCAAGTGATGACATCAGGACGTCAACTCCTGATCATTCTTACGGGCACGGAGTCTCTGTCAGACCATCCACAAAAAAAAACGACCCAGGGTCCAGATAGGAACTTTCCGGGGTACAGTACATGGGGGAAGATTTTAATTTATTCCCCCGGATTTCGCACTGACGTTTTCCGGAGGAGCGAGTTCCGAAGGTCTTGCGTCCCGCGATATGACAAGTCACCCCATCATTTATGCGCGTCCCCGATCATGGCGTATGGCAGAAGTGAGGCCATCCTCGCTGCCACGGCGGTGTTCCTTAGCACCTCGTTGGTGACTGTGATTCTGAGATGTTTTGTACGCCTGCGGATCGTCAAGGCCTTTGGGGCCGATGACTACATCATGGTAGTCGCAATGGTAAGCCACTGTAACCCCTCCATCCTCAGGGTCCGAGCTGATGCGATACTTGCACAGATTTGTAACCTGGCATTTGGCATCTGCGGCATGGTAGGCTCTACCTATGGAATGGGAAAACATTTAGCCTACTTTGCCGGTCGGTCATATCTGTTTAGTCGTGCTATGCTGGTAAGTTTCCATCATAGTGCTATTTAGACAAGGATGTGATCACTCATGGTGCCAACTGCAGTGTTTCTACCTCGGACAGATCTTCTACGTGGTCACTGCGGTGCTGGCTAGACTCTCCATCGTCATGACCCTTCTGCGTCTCTTCGTTGAACCGCTACATGCCTGGATTCTCTACGGGATAACCGCCCTCTCGATCATCGCGGGGTTCCTTTTCTTCTTCTTCACGATCTTCCTGTGCCAGCCCGTGCAATACCTTTGGGGCCGCATGACGATGGAGGGGAAATGTCTGGACATAAATCTGCTACTGGGGATTGTCTACATGTACAGTGTTGTCACGGTCCTAAACTTAAATTGAATGAAACAAGATCTATTCAGAACATAGGGCGACCCATATTCGAAACAACTAACTTGAGGAGCTATCTGAAGAGGTGTTGCTGGGAGGGAGGTGTAGGATGTGTGATCACGTGATTGAATAGGGCTAGGGCTGGAAATCAGGTGATCTGCGATCTCTTTGAAGTCGTGGGCCCCGGGCCCTCAACTTCTTTGGTCTTTTGTCTCTTTGGCGGCATCTCGAAATCTTCTCGCAAGGTGTTCTTTCTTGGCTTTCAGGTTTAGGCAGCTTTAAAGGTATGTAGAAATAAGAAGGTGTGAAGAAGAAAGGTCGTTGCGTAGGAAAAGTTCGTGTGGTTGTTTTGATTTCCCGATTTGGAAGTGAGGTAAGAATAGTGAATGGCGAGATTTGTTTTTTTTTTTTTTTTTTTTTGCCTTCAAGCTCACCCTGAGCTGGTTTTGAGCTTATCTCTGACGTTTGAATTTCCCACTTTCGCTATTCAACTGGTAACTGTGTTCAAAATACTAGTAAAAGACGTTGCTGGAGGAGTGGTGACTGGCGAGGCCCTCCCCTCCTTGAAATAGTGACGTCCTCGTCACTGTAAACATCCCGATTATAAGAAAAGAAGTGCGAAGAAAGACTTATTAAAGATAAGGTTCCGAAATAATTAGAAGAAAGAAAACAAAAACAACTAAAAGGAAATAACAGGAACAGTTTAGTTCGTTGTTTGAGGGATAACCACTGCAAACGGAGCACCCGGTGGTATCCAATCTGTGTCTTCTTTGGCAGTGTTTTCGTTTCCACTTTGGCTTTCATCTGGTGTCTCGCTTGTCTCTGGTGTCTCGCTTGTCTCTGGTGTCTCGCTTGTCTCTGGTGTCTCGCTTGTCTCTGGTGTCTCGCTTGTCTCTGGTGTCTCGCTTGTCTCTGGTGTCTCGCTTGTCTCTGTGTTTTGGTCTGGTAGTTCCGGTAGGGAAAAGAACTGTTTCAGTCGATTTCCGGATACTGGTTGAGAGAAAGATGTTCCGTCCAATTCTTGAAGGAGGTAAGATCCATTGTTGTGTTTTGTCTGAACTCTATACGGTCCAAGCCAGCGAAATGCAAGCTTCTCTGTATAAGATGTTTCGAGTCTGCTATCGTGTAACAACACAAGGTCTCCTTCCTTAATCTCTTTGTTTCGAAGATTGTGTGTTTCGTCAAACGCTTCTTTATTCTTCTCCCTTTGTCTTTGCAGCCGAAGTCGCGCCTCTTCCATATCCTTGTCTCTTCTTTCAATTTGCCTAGCCCTTAATGCTAGAAGGTCTCCTGTGTCTTTAACCTGATCCCACCGAAGGACTTGCCAAGTGGGGATCTCAAGTTCTATGGGGAGAATTGCCTCTTTTCCCATTATAAGTTTGAAAGGAGTCATTCCGGTGCTGTTGCGTACTGTGTTTCTGTCGGCCCATAAAACCGCAGGCAAGTGCTTTTTCCAGTGATACCCAGTGCCTTTAGTCATGGTCCTAAGAGCTTTGACAATCGGTTTGTGTCCAACTTCAATGAACCCATTCGCTTGATGATTGAAGGGCGAGATCCGTATGTGCCGCGTTTTGTACCGTTTTATAAGTTCTTGCAAGATTAACTTTGTCTCAGGGCCATTATCAGAGACAAGAATTAACACACAACCCCAGCGGGTTATAATTTCCTCATAGATGAATTTAGCCACATTGGTAGAATTGGCGGTGTTTAACGCTCTGGCTTCTATCCATCCTGACAGGGACTCTCTGGCCACTATAAGGCAATTTGGTTTCGTCTCTTTCTTGCTAATATGCACAATATCAATGTGCCACTTGGCAAACAAGGGATCCGGTCGAGATATTCTCATTTCTTCCTCTTCCTTCGCACTGGCAGACTTTTGGCACTCTTCGCAGGCTTTGCACCATTTGGCGACATCTTCCCACATGCCTGACCACCAATAGCGGATGGCTATTTTATGGTATGTGCCCTCTCTTCCGCGGTGTCCCAGCTCCGCATGCATAGCTTCAAAAATAGTCCTTCGGCGAGCCTTATCGTCCACAACTCTTCGCACCGGTTGATTAACAGTGCCTCGCCGATAAAGAGCTTTGTCCTGCACAAGGAACTTTGTGGCTTTCCTTCGGAAGGCATGGTACTCTTTGCTGCTCATTCCTTCTGGCTTTTTGAGTGTCATTAACCATCTGGCTATTTTCTGCGACTCTTCAGACCATTCCTCAGTGGAAGAATCCAGGTAATCCACAGATTTCACATTGTCGGAAGTTATGGGCTGGGGGCCCACAACTTCTGCAGGTAAGGCCCTTGCCACAAAACTAAACTCCCTTGCTAGAAAATCCTCAACGTCATCTTCCTCAGCCTCTCGTACGGCTTCTTCAGTTGGAGGCTTTCTGGATAGCCCGTCTGCTGCTGTGTTTCTTGTTCCCGGGACATGTACAGCCGAGAAGTCAAACATCTGAATCCATGCAATCTATCTTGCTACCAAAGACCCTGGGAGGTCCGTGGCAGTGCGATTTAACTGTGCAACAAGGGTAGCTGCATCCACCTCCAGAGTAAAATGCACTCCGAATAGGTAAAGCCTAAACTTCTTCAATGTTTTTAACACTGCGCGACATTCCTTCTTTCCAGCATCATAATTGGATTCCGCAGCATTCCAGAGTCCGCTCTCAAATCTTACTGGATGCCGCTTCGTCCCATTGGGTTCAGTCTGCATCAATACTCCTCCCCATCCTCTACCACTACCATCGCATGCCACAATAATTTCCCCTACTACCTTCACAGTCCCATCTTCCAGCATCTCTGGATACTCCAAAGACTTTAGTGCTGGGGCACTAGTAAGCTTTTCTTTGAGGAGATCCATAGCTTCCTGTTCTCTCCTATCCCATCGGAACTCAATATCCTTTTTTGTAAGCACATACAACGGTTCAGCTATCACCGCAAAATCCTTAATCCAGATTCGATAGTAAACTACTACCCCGACAAAGGCCTTGACTTCAGTGACACTATTACAGGGTGGCCAGTCTAAGATTTTAATAACCTTAGACTTTTCAGGATGCCGGCCCTGATAATCACAGACATACCCAACTATCTTAATAGCTGGGACCGCGAATTGTGTCTTTTCTCCCGATATTGTTAGTCCGGCCAATTCCAGGCTATGCAATGTTCTGTCCAGGGACTGGAAGTGTTCCAGCATAAACCTCCTTACTCCGGGCAGTGCTTCTTCCTCATTGTACCTGTTTTTAGGGCCTTTTACCCCAATGTCGTCGAGGTATACGTCCGCATCGCCCGGGATGTTGTCGCTTAAAACAATCTTCATAATCCTCATAAAAATCGGTACTGCATTCGTCCATCCTTGAGGCAGCGTGGTCATTCGAAGAAGACTCAGACTGGTCATAAAGGCTGTAATATCTCTCGACCCTTTCTCCAGTGGTATCTGATCATATCCTGAAAACAGGTCGGCCGCAGTAGCTACTGCCATTCCAGCAAACTCTTCCGCAAACTTATCTGAATTGGGAGGGAGGTTCGCATCTTTCCAAGTCACCTTATTAATGTTCAGTGCTGCGTTAATTAGACGGTATCCCACTTTCTTAGCCACCAAGAACCAAGGATTCCGGTAAGGTCCGTCGCAGTATTCCAGCACTCCGTTTCGAAGACGTTCTTGAAAAATCTTTGTTGCAATATCTCGAAGCGCTCTAGGAACAGAATACCCTTTCTCTTGCCAAGGGTCATGAGGAATTGTCTCAATCTTAACCGGTGGAGCCACTTCAGGCTGAACTAGCCCCTTCTCTTCGAACGTCTAGGCCAATGCCTTCTCCCTGGCAAACAGAACTTCAAGGAGAAATGCCCTCTCTTGTAGGGTCAATTCTTCTCCTATCTTAAGGCGTCCTATCCTTTCAGGTGTTAACCTCGCTCCTCTCGCTATCCCCGAGACTTTCGGAATAATAAATGGTGAGTAGTTCGTCTGTGGTGACATGTTCTCCTTCCGGTTCTTGTCCAACTTCCGCAGTATTAATGACTTCCAATTTGCTCGATTCTCTAACATTCCCCCCGATGGTTTTGGAGCGTTCACAGGGAGTACCTTATCCGCTTTTCTTTTATATGCCGTGTTAACCCAGTGCTGATACCTTATTGTGCACCAGTCGGTCCTCGACGATATTCTCCCTTCTCTTGTCGCTTCACTCGAAAACCTGTATTGAATGGGATAGAAGCGATACCCAGGCTCCTCGTAATTTGGAAGTTGTGGGCCCCAGCCCACAACTTTACTTTCTCCGTGCAGACCACACTTTGCGCCAGGACTAGGTCTGCTTTTTATCCTGGCCCCTAGTTTTCCTGCACATCCTCCTCCTTGAAAATGTCTTCTCTTGTATGATTCCTTGGGTTTTGAAGAGTAAATGCTTGTATCTTCGCCACTCGCTTTCCATCTTGGCTTTTAATTATCACATCCACCGATCCGTCGTTTTTCGTGAACTGTCCCATACGAGACTGGTGCATAAAAGGTCTGCCCAATACACATTCGTGAGACACCGGGCCGTCCACCACAAAAAAGGGAACTCTATATTCAAATCCTCCAATCTGCGTAAGGACTTCCTCACAGACTCCGAGAAAGCGTGAAGTCCCTTCATTGGCACTTTTCATGGATCCCCTAGTAAGTATAGTAACCGGTAGTCCCAAATTATCAGTAAAATCCCGGTGCAGTAGATTAATTTCTGCCCCGCTATCAATCATAACCTTCCGACTCCATGAACTGTCATGAGCTTTGATTGTCACTCCAACCTCCAAGGTCCTAATAGCGTAATACATCGAATTGCATAGTGCTTCAAAGTATTGTGCTTTGTCTTCCTCTATCTCTTCCTCTTCGAACGCTACTTCATCCACTCTCGGCTGAAGCTGGCTCCAGCGATCCTGAGGCGCGAACATTAACTTATGCAATTCTGGGGAGATACGTATAAGCTCTTCGGTGGTAAGCTCAATCTTCTGCTGCAATATTTTTCTTTTTATCTCCTCGACGGGCCCATTCCCTT